AGCACCAGAAGTAGCCACGTAGGTTTAGCGCATTCGGGAATTATATAGGGAGGATTGGAAAATTTTGAAGAATTATCCTCTAAGAATTATATTTCGAAAACATATACAATTTCTTAAAAAAAAAAAAAAATTATAAATTTTAAAATTTTTTTTCTCGTATATAATCACGTTTTTGAAAAATGTCCATCAACCAACGAACAAGTTCTCTAAGTGGCGCTCATTTTTTTAATTTTTTTAAATTGTGTATCAATCATGTTTTTGAAAAGTATCTTCTTTCTCATTAAAAATGTTTCGAAAATCTTTCCGCCACCAACAATGGTGCTCGTTTGGCCTTGTTTGATAACATGGATAGGTCGAGATTGGGCTCATAATCGGGGCTTTGCCGCTCGTTTGTTGCCTTAGAATGCGGCCCGCTCGATTGGGCGTGACCCGCAATTAAAACGGTTTAACATGCGGTATTTTAAGAACAAATGATCTTAGCGAGGAGGCCTAAACTATGAGATATGATAAATTCTAAAAATAGAAAATAATGTATAAATGACAAATATTTATTGTAAATTTGTTTATATATTTGTAAATGAATTACATATAATTAATGTACATTATATATATATGTAATACTATTTTTATAAGCGGTATAAATAATAATGTATATGATAACAAAGTCTGAATAAAAATAAGTAAAATTATTATATTTTTTATATAAAAAAATAAATATATATGTCAATATATTGTTTACATTAATATAAGGGGTTAGTTGTAAAATATATTGCTAAAATAAAGTTTAAAAAAAAAAAATTATTAAGGTACGAATCTTAATAATTTGTATTGCATCGAATGCTTATCGATCAAAATAACACAATAAAATTTGTATTGGACTAAAATTGTAATATTAATTTTCTATGGGACCAATATTATAAAATTGGGACGAACGAATAGAAGTAATGGACAATATTGCAATTTTTTTCCGATTCTAGCTGATAAAACCAGCCCGGCGGTCACCTCCCCTTCATCAGTCTCCATCTCCGGTCATCCAGTCTCCGCCGCTGGCGACCAATTCCACCGTACACTTCTCTCAGGCTAACCCCAGTATACCTCACACAGTCCAGGTACATTTCCGCTCACAGTTTATCGCGTTATTTTCTATAAAAACAAACCTAATGCGCCTATAATCGCCACGAAATTAACTGGCCGGCCGTCTTTTCTTCTTCTTTTCCCTGTCTAAATTCATCCGAGTTGATTTGATTCACCGGACGCTTGACTTGAGCTTTTTTTTACATGACAATTCAAAGTCGTGAATTTTTCGGTTCACATCTTATGATACTTTGGTAATTTCGGTCTTTCTTGTGCTGATGCGTAGTGTTTGATCTCGAGCCTCCGTCGTCATGAGCATTCAAATCATTAAAATGGGTTCAATCTGGACGGACATGACTGAACCTTCTGCATTTTGTGCTCCTCAAATGCCAAAATCGGTGCAGGTTGCGCCTCGGTTGGTAACAAGTATGACTTTGTTTTCTTCTACTTTCATTTCCAGTGAGGGTTAATAGAAATGGGAGATGAGACATTTGCAGCAATCACAAAGTTTGAATTTTTTTCAGGAAGTAGGAGTTTGTCGGTACAATGTGGGATTCGGTTTCGCCCTTGCATTGACATACACAAGGTTTGATTCAGAATCTTGTGCACTTAGTGTTTTTTTTTTTTTTGGCTGATGTGAGTGACCAAAATCCCCGTTAGGCCTGCTACAGTTTGGGTTGTCCGATGGCCTAACTTGCAACATGGGTTCTTCACAAAATTGAACACATTGAAAATGGATTATAATCATGTCACTTTTACATATAGTAGATACGAATGTGTAACAGCTGTTTATTAATCACTTAATTCCACTGTTATTCACCTTGAGTAAAATTTCTACATCTGGAGAAACTTTGAAAGGTGATACTAGAGTTATCAGCTTCATTAGTCATTACAATATATAAAAGTTTTGGGTATTCCAATATTCCATATAGCCGATCCACTTGGATAAATATTTTGTTGTTGTTGTTGGATGGCTTTAGAAATTGATCGTACAAGGCATAGAAATTGTTCTCCAAGTGGAGAAGTACAAGTAGATATAACAGTAACCAATATACTTTCTCATATTAATTCTATATTTCTAGTGTGTTGTATCTGCATTGAAATTATTTATCTCTTGACTGGATTTTTTCTGACTTCTTGCTGTGTCACCCCGTGAATCGACCATGAATTACTAATACCATGATTCATTATAATAAATTTTCAGGGGAAAGTGAAACAGATTGTCGGATCCACTCTTACAGATTCTAAAGGGGAAGATACTAGTCTTATAACTAATTATGAATCTGATAAATCGGCTGCAGAATATGCTAAAATGTATAAAGATGATGGTCTTATTGGCGGCCATCTAATCATGCTCGGAGCTGATCCATGGAGTAAATCGGCAGCAATTGAAGCCTTACATGCTTATCCAGGTGTGATAATTTACTCTTTCTTTTCAAACATCAATATAATATTTCAGGAATATCCTTTCAGTGTATTGGTTGTTATTACTAAGCCCCTTCAGAAAAATTTAATGACTCCATCCTTAGTATTGTGGTGGAGAAACAATTATGGATTACATTGAAACTATTGTTCACAATATGCAATTTGTCTGCCAGTATGTATCTTTCATGGTTACTTCGTTAGAGTTTTCTATTGCTGATACTTACAACATGAAAACATCTAGGTGGTTTGCAAGTTGGAGGTGGTGTCAATTCAAGTAATGCCTTGAGTTACATAGATGAAGGAGCAAGCCATGTTATCGTTACCTCTGTATGTGCAAATATTTTTTATCCTGACCTGAAATAGTCTGTTAGCGTGCATTTCATGTTGCCTTACACCTCTTCCAAAGTAAATTTCTCTTCTGAATCACCATATACGTGCGTACATCTCAAATATGATGTTTAATGGGATACTTAAAAAAACCATTGTTTTCAAATACCATGATGAACTTTTATGTGATACAACAGTTGGCCAATTAATCAGGGTTTTAGAGTAGCTGACTGGTGCTTCCCTTCTGAGCCTGACGATGGGCCTTTACGCACAATTCTCTTGCAGTGACCTCTTTGTTATTTGAAATTTAGGCTTTGTTGTATGTCCAACATCTGCAATCTTGTTTTTTGTATGGCATCCTGATGATATTCTATATGATACACATATAATATGATTTACATAAAGTCGATTTTCTCACTTGATGGAAAGTTGCACCTCTTGTGCTCAAGCAAGCAATGTCGAATAATTGTGAAAGTATATGGACTGTTAAGAATCCCCATAGATTTCTTATGTAATATTTAGACATCGTCTGCAAATATTCTTGTCTCTGCATGTTTGATAATCTATAAATGTAAAGCTTTCTGGGTAAAGTTCTATGTCTTTGGAAGCTTATCTGCTGGGTAAAGTTCTCTGTCTTCAGAAGCTTATCTGCTGTGTACTTCTTCAATGCAATGGCAGTACGTATTCAGTGATGGACAAGTAGATTTTGAAAGGCTAAAGGAACTGGCCGATACCGTGGGAAAACAGAGACTCGTGTTGGATCTTAGTTGCAGAAAAAAGGTATTTCTCGTCCTAATTAATCCATGTTACTTGAAAAAATGTCTTCAAATGCTATCTCTACATATAATTTGAAATCGGCTTCTAAATTTACTAGAATGTAGCAACCTTTTACAATCATGAGTCATGAAATTATTTTATACAAATACTTGTGGATATCCAGGCGGTTACATCTTGTTTGACTTGATATTGAAAACTTTATCTCTCATAATAGTGATGCTTTCAGCTACACTTTTTTCAATTTTGCATGTGTTTCATTAACTTAAAAAATGCTTTTTGCAGGGGGATAGGTATGCTGTTGTCACGGACAGATGGCAGAAGTTCACTGATGTGTATCTTGATCAGAAAGTGTTGGATCTTCTTGCCAGTTATGCTGATGAATTTCTTGTCCACGGAGTTGATGTTGAAGGCAAAAAGTACGTCTTGTAGCTTGATGATTCCTACTGTTCTCTTGCAGAACTTTGCGTTTTGATAAAAAAAAAGTCTGACATAAAGCAATGTGTAGTGTAAAAACCTGCTACATTTTGACTTGTTTTCTACTTGTGAAACTCATGAAGATCTGTGCTGATTATGCATCACTGAAATACCAATGCTTTGCATCTGATTTTATTTGCAACTTTCAATTATGCAGGCTGGGAATTGATGAAGAGCTTGTCGCCTTGCTTGGCAAGCATTCACCGGTGTGTTTCTTTAGAAGTCATCCTTGAATTAATATTGTCTTACATAGCTTACAATTGAACTACATTAATCCCTGCACTCCTCTTTAACTTACGTTAATCCCACTAGTCATATTTTTTGTTTTTTTTTTTTTGGGAAAAAGGAAAAAGAACATCTGACCAATTCTTTTGGCAGATGAGCTTGAAGATTCTCTTATTGTTTCATGACAGGCGTAGTGGTTTTGGTCATTTGACACTGACACACTGGCCATACGTTTTCCCTACATTAATTCGTTGGCATTTTCAGTCCAACTGTTGTTTATTTTATGTTATTTCTATATGTTTCTAAAGATTCCGGTGACATATGCTGGTGGAGTCACTGTTATGAACGACTTAGAGAGAATCAAAGTAGCAGGAGCTGGACGTGTAGATGCCACAGTGGGCAGCGCTTTGGATATTTTCGGGGGTAATTTGCCGTACAAGAAAGTTGTCACGTGGCATTCTCAGCAAGAGGCTCTGGCAGTTTTTGACTAACCTGGTTCTCACTAAAATTTGATCAGTTTCTTTTATTGCTTTCTTGCATCATTGACATGTATAGCTATTTATGAGAACTAGCATAATATGCGGTTTTTGGGGTAACCAAGAAAATATTGGTGACAATTGTTTTGTTGATGACGAGCCAGTAAAAGGATCTAGCTGCAAGATTCTGTACTTTCCAGTCAATTAAATGAATTTGCCTTTTGTTTTTTTAATTATTACTTCATCCTTGTCATAGGATTTTGATATTAGAACTTCCTATCTTCATTTGATTGCTTTAGGGCATAAATATATGTTGAAATACAAGTACGAAATGACGTCTCGTGCAAAAGAGAAGTTGATATCTCGAATCTACTGTTAGCCATATTGGCTGGGACATATTGGATATAGAAGGTTAGCCTCTCTCTATCTCTCTCTCTTTTTTATTCTTTTCCTGTTTGTTTTTTTCCCTTGAGACCAGTTACATTTTTCTCGACTACTAGTTTATTTCAGGGATGCTTGTAAGTGTTGGAAACCATGCTTTATAAGACATGTTCCGATCATTGTTAGTGTTCAATGCTCTCTGAGCCTCGAAAATCATGTCTTGAACAGCTAGCATCTTCTGCAGCTCTTGCTTTCTGATCACGAGCTTGACCCTACCTACCCCACTGGCTTTTCTCTCGTCATCCCCAATATATTCTGAAAACCCATCTTTCTTATTAATCTCTTTCGGTTGGGCCCCCATAGACTGACCATTTGGCTGCAAATATTTATTAGAAATTTCATGGCTCGAAAATGTGGGCAGCATTTGGGGGTTGTAAGCAATCATATTTTCATTTGTTTTCATTACATTCATAGGCTTCAGTTGATTAATCAAGCAGTTTCCCATGAGACAAGTAATATTAGTGAACCTTTGGGGAATAGAAGTGGAAATTTTTCAAAGGCTTAATGAGTAAACCACTTCTTGTGTGGGGGATTTATAGGAAAAAAGATGATGAGGATTTGTGAAAACCAAGTTGCACTGTGGGTCCCACTTGTAATTATTTCTGTTGTTGGTGTGTTTAGCTTTGTGACCTCATGAAGAATATTTTGAACCTAAAACGATGATTAGTAGATGAATTTGCTGGCTTCTTCAGTGTGTATGAGAAAGTTCAATGGGAAATTCGGACAATACGCGGTCTGAAATGAAAAGTGGGCATCCATTTGGAGGGGTAAAACGAAAGTTGCGGTAAAAAAAACTGCAGTAATGTTGATTATGATGGTAAATCAGAGAGTTAGAAGCTGATCAATTACTAATGCGACGTAATCCTTGCACAATTTCTTGATGGTAAACGTCAACTTCAGGTGTTTCGTAATTATATGTGTTTATTTATTGCTTTTCGTAATCTTATGTACTAATATTTGGTGCTTTGAAATTTTTCTATGTAGATGTGGACTTTTATTAATTAAATTTTTCATTAAGAATTATATGATATGCATCTTCAAGTAAATACGAGGTTGTTTTCATTGTTTAGTAAACCATTGTTTTATCTTGAGCATGAGGTTCAAACACGCATGCATGACGAAGAGGGGTTAGCGCAGTGGCGCATACCTTCGCTCGGCGTGTATCATGTCCCGAGTTCGAGTCACCCAGGGGGAATTGGGGAACCAGTATTGATCCCCCTTTTAAACAAACAAAAAAAAAAAAAAAACACGCATGCATATTGAATTCCACCAAGCGTAACTATACGCTGATTGGCAGTTAACCATTTTCCTAACACCACTTTTGTAGGAAAATTTAGGACCCATTTTTAGGCCATGCACATATGTTGGGGTTAATGGTTGACTCTAAGATTAGGTAGTTTTAATGGTTGATTCATTCTCCACTATTAGACATGGCCACCGTCACCTGGCCCGAAACCGGCATGAACCTAGCCCGGTCCAACCCGTTGACCACGGGTCGTGGCCCGTGCCCAGATTTACCCTGGGCCGGTTTAGGGTCATATCGGCTGGCCGGGCTTTTTTGTAATTTTTTTTAGGATGAATCCCGGTGTGGGTCCGATTTCGGGTTGGACGGCCCATTGGGTCATTAAACTCGCCCGCTAGGTCACTAGACTGGTTTGGCCCGTCGGGTTTAGTAGTGCTCCCCTACCCAGGTGGAACATGTTAATATGTCTACCGCTTATGAGGCATACACACATTGGTGATGTTAATATGTTCAAAAAAATATATATCACTAATGTGTGCATGCCACGTAGGCAGTGGACAAATTAACATGTGTCCACCGTAGATATGTATGGGAGCATTACTGCTATTTTATTATATCATATAAGTATGATACTATATCTATTAATTAACTGAATTTTATATTTTGTGTTTTTCTAATCATGATATGTGTTTGTTTTATAGATTGGAGGTTTTCTTTAAAAAAGAATATTTATAGTTTGGAATAGGTCAATAGTTAGGAAGAGAATAGTATAGTTAAAAGGGGGGAAAGTGAAATGTTAGGTTAAAAGTTAAAAACACAACAGTTTCGATGTGAAAATTGTATTTTGCTTATTAATTAGCCTAATTTCTTAAAAACCCATAACCTTTTATTGAATTGCAAAAAAAATCTCTAACCTTTTCAATGTTGCCATTTAATACCCAACATTTTCTATTTCTTGCATGAAGCTTTCATTGGTTTCTCGACCGCCGCAGTGCTGATCTGCCCGACTATAAAGCTTACATGTTTTTAAGTTTAAAATACGTATACATATCAGAGTTCAAATAAAATTCTTGTGAAATCTAATTTCTTCCACAATCCCCAATTCCCCATTTCTCTAAAAATGAATACAACTATTTAAAGATGCATACAATTGTTTAAAATATTTCGAGTACCCTAATTTAGAATATGGAAAAAACTCATTACAGTAAATTTACTAATATCCTATATGGCTACAAAGAATGATAAATTCCAGAAATGTCCATGTTTGAGCTTCACTTGCAAGTTGCAACAAATAGAAAAAGTTGAGCATTTAATGGGAACACAAAAAATATTGAGATTCTTTTACAATTCAATAAAAAGTTATGAATTTTAAAACAATTTGGCCTTAATTCTACTATATATATATATTAGTTTTTCCCTGAACATATATCAAAATTAGAACATGAAAAATTTACAGGTTAGGGATATAGCTTCGATTCCTCGTCCTTTGGGACTTAAAAAAAAAAAAAAAAAAAAAATTCCAAATCGATAATACAACACACAGCACGAGATTGAGCATAAAGATATGATTATCTTATCTTTTTAACACTAAGAGCATCTCTAATGGTCCATGGACTGTTTAATCCATTGCCACGTAGTCCAACAAATTCAACGTGACATTCAAAATATACGAAGTCTTTCGATATGTAGAAAGGCTTCTAGGCATCTTTAGTCTATATTATATTACTTATTTTATATTTTTTTTCTTCACCAACCAATTATTATCTTACATGTGTCAAATTATTTCACAATTGAATTAATCAATGGAGACAAAATATTTTATTTTTTTCTCCACACCATACATCTCAAAATAGACATTATGCCATCGGAGATGCTATGAGGTAATTCATAATTTTACCTACTAACATTTTTAACTAATAATTTTACTTTTACTTTGTTTTTGCATCCAATAGTCAAAATCGATGAAAAACGAGTAGTTAGTTGTGTTGTGGGTGAAAATTGAATTAGTGAAACCTACAATCATAAGTGGTGGTGGATATCGTGGTCATTCTAGTTTTTTCTACAGTATCAATATGCAGTTTGCTTTAGAAGTAAATAAAATTAAAAAAAAAAAACGACAAAAATGTTGAAATAACTATGAGTAGAATTATATATTTAATTAAAGTTGGTATTGATAAGATAGTTGATTACTTAGAATTGAATTTTAAATTTATTGCTAATTAGTTTATTTGTAAAATTAACTGTATAGTTTAGCTGAAATAAAATTTTTAATTGATTTCTTTTAAATAAAAAATAATATCCATCCACAAATTTTATGAACTAAGGCTATGTTTGGTAGACAAATAAGTTAGCTTATAGTTTATTTGGTTACCTTATAAGCTCCCTGTATTCAAATAAGTCTCGTTTGGTAGGACGGATTTTTTTAAAAAGCTCAAACTTTTTTGATAAGATTCTTTAAGTAGCTTTTCAAATAAGCTAGTTGAATTTTTTATTCCAGCTAGCTTATCAGCTAATTCCACCAAACACTTTCATCATATAAGCTAGCTTTTCAGCTTTAAGTCATAAATATAAGTTATAAACTAAAAAAATACTGATAAGCTATCAGCAAGCTTATAAGCTAGTTTTAACAAACATAGGCTATGTTTGGTAAACCAAATAAGCTAGCTTATAGCTTATTTGGTTAGCTTATAAGCTTCTTGTATTTAAATAAGCCCCGTTTGGTAGGACGAGCTTATTTAAAAAGCTCGAGCTTATTTGATAAGCTTATTTAGGTAGCTTTTCAAATAAGTTAGTTGAATTTTTTATTTCAGCTAGCTTATCAGCTAATTTTACTAAACACTTTTATCATATAAGCTAGTTTTTCAGCTATAAGTCATAAGCTATAAGCTATAAGCTTGAAAATTACATATAAGCTATAGGCTAACTTATCAGCTATCAGCTAGCTTATCAGCTAGTTTTACCAAACATAGCCATAGTCTGAGGTACAACTTTTTCGGAGTTTATTTAATACATAAAGTGGATAAGGTAAAAAGTTTACCTTATACACTATTATCTAAGGTAACTAAATAAACTATTATGTAATTTATGTTGCTCAAAAAAATCATAGCTCTAATTTTTAATTTTCTGGAAGCCATTTTAGAGTGGGATTTGAAGAAATTATTGGCATAAATCATAATAGGTTGGAAAGTAGTAAAAAAAAAAAGAGGCTTTTTGGCTAAAGATATAAAAGGAAGCAACTTGGAATATAGTAAAGTGGTTCTGGAAAATGTGTTTGGTTTAGTGATAAATGATGTTACCCATACGCATGCTTGAAGTGTTCAAGGCAGGAGTTCTATTAAGAGGGATAAACTAACTTACAAAAAAGAAGAATTAAATAATATATATGGGGTGTTATTCGAGTCGATCCGGCTCGTTTAATAAATGAATCGCCTTACCTCGGCTTCTTTAAGCTCGTCTCGTCGAACAAACCAAAAATCATGAATGAGCTATTTGCGAACACGCGATTTGTTTGGCTCGGCTGTTTATTTGAAAATCGAGACTTATTAAAAAAAAAAATAAAAAAAATTAACGAATCGTTCGCGAACAAGCTCAACTCGGTTCGTTATTAAACGAGCTCGGTTAGTGTTGTGGTATCATCCCAAGATCATAAACATAATTTGAGAGAAAAACAAGTTTCTATTACTCACAAGAATAAAAACAAGAGATTTACAAACTCTAAACAAAAAACTCTCAAACACTCCACAACTCTTTCTTGGTTGTGTTTCAACACTCTCAAGGTTGATTGATCACTCTCAAGGATGATTTGAATGAATGAAATATGAAGCCTATTTATAGGCAAGAAGTAGCACACCTCCATTGACAACATGTGTGTGAATGAGAATGGTTGGTGAGGTGTGAAGGGCTAGCCATTGATGAAGTCTTCAAACTTGTTCTTCCATGGTGTGCTTGAATATTTGGTGAAGACTTATGGTTGTTGGGAGATTGTACATTGTTGACTTGTTCATGCATGGAACTTTCAATTCTCCCCTTTCCATGCAAGTTCCGAACAAGCATTCCTACTATGTCTCTGCATAGCTTAAGCTTGTCCAGTGTAACCACTTTTGTCAACATATCTGATGGATTCTCCTTCGTATTGATCTTCACTAGTTTCAACAACTGTTGATCAATCTTCTCGCGTATCCAGTGATACGGAACATCAATATGCTTTGTGCGGGCATGGTACATAGAGTTCTTGCTTAAGTCAATAGCACTTTGACTATCACAATATACCTTGTACTCTTTCTGCTTAATCCCAAGTTCTT